CTGCTTCCGTCTCGAACTCCGCGATCTTCTGGTTGAGCAAGTAGATCTGCTTGGCATTGAGCGTCTTCACCTGACCAGCCGCAACGCAGCCCGGATCGTCCTTCGCTGTAGCGTCCGGACCTCCCTGTCCAGCGTCAAGTTGGTCAGCTTCACCCAGTTGTCTAAGCTGTTGATCTCGTCGAGGAGCGCCCAGTGATCCTCCGGCACCGGTATGTCCTCGGTCTCCTGCTTCATCCTCTCCATGTGCTCGGTCAGGGTCTCCTTCGCCGGATCCCAGGTCGGAAACTGCATGTTGTTCTGCATCACCGTGTCCAGGTCGATCGTCTCGTGGACTGCCTCCACCTCTTCCTCCTTCATCGTCGCCTTCTTCGGAGGTGGTGCCTTGAATGCTGCCGGACACCCCTTCGGCCTCGGTGCATGGTAGACCGTCCTCGGCGGCGAAGGTGAGCTCGAAGTTGCTCTCGGAGGTGGTGGTGGTCTCGGTGTCGCTGTCGTCGGATCCTCCTTCTTGGCCGCTGAGCCCGAAAACGCTGGCCCAGAACTCGACGTCTCCGCGCGGATCCTCAGACACACATGGCTGCGCCCGCCCACACAGCTGCAGCCCGCTCTGCGCCTCCCAGGCGCTCCGCAGCACGCGCACTTGATGTTGTCGTACTGCCTCTTGATGTCGCCAGCGTCGGTCTCCTCTTCCTTCTTGAGTTGTAGGGCTTGATCAGCGGCGGCTGGCCGCAAGGAAGTCGTCCCTGACACTGGTGACTGCGGCCGCCCAGGCATGAACATCCGGCCGTCGTGGTCCCCGGAACTCCGCAGCAGCCGCACCTTGTACTCGTCAAGGCCGTCGAAGTAGCGAAGACCTCCGAGGGTTGCGATGAGCCACGTGAGCTTCTGCCACCGCATGATGATCGCATCCACTGGCTGATATGGAATAGAAAGCTGATCTGGGTCGAGAGCCTTGGCTCGATCACCGCTTTGAGCCCAAGAAACTTCGGACGCATCGGAAATCAGAGCATCATGTGTGATAACTTCTCTCCATTCAGCGTGTGGCCCGAAATCTATGAGAAGATGCCCGCACCTCGATCTCTCTAGAAGGTAGGTCTTACTGCCCAGAGCCTTAAACCTGATAGTGCCGAGCTCAAAGTCAACAATCACTCCGAAATGCTTCAGGAAATCCATACCTATCAAAAGCGGGGCATCCACTTCCACAACTGAAACTGGAAAATCACACTCTTGGCCGTCGACGTATCCTGGAATACTTGCGTGATTCAGAGACTGAGCCTTCTGATTATTCCCGAAAGTGAACTCGATTCTGGGTCCAGGAACTATCTTCATACGGTTCTGGCCTACCATCTTCATCATCGTGGCTTGCCAGATCTCCGCCGTATCTAAACCTATCATGGATGAGGTGGCCCCAGAGTCCAAGATGCCTTTGAAGGTCCCCGAGAGCTGTGAGGCCATAAATATACACTGCTCGAAAACCACGTATACTCGATGAGACTCCCTTCTGGAAACCCTGGGTGTTTGTATTCGGATTCTCGTCGGTCTCGGTCGTGATGCTGTCGATCGCGGTCGCGATGTAGTCGATCGCTGTCGTGCTGTAGTCGATCGTGGTCGCGCTGTTGTCGATCGCGGTCGTGATGTTGATGACGATAGATGCTTGTAGCTACGTCCAGCCTGCAGCTTCGCTGGAGCCTTACAGTTCTTAGCTATGTGGCCGCGGCCGCCACACCTCAGGCATATGGTGTTGGGGTCCGTCTTCCACGAGTCGTCCCTCTTCTGGTGGTGGCCTCCGCCTCCGGTCGAGCTCCTGGCCGAAGTCGACGACTTGCCTGCCCCCTTGACCGGCTGTCCGCCTTTCTTCTGCCCGAACTGGCCTCCGAAGAACTTCCGTCCGGTCTTCTTCTGGCGCAGCAGCTCGCGAGCCTGCTTGAAGGACCGCTGCCCTTGTTGAGCAGCAGAAAACACAGCACCCTCGAGTAGCTCATCCCGGAGCTCTTGGTCGTCACCTGCTTGATCGTAGATCTCCTGGATCTGGCTGGCGAACTCGTCCTCCTCCGCCGCCAGCGCTGTCGCGTTCTCGCTGTGCTGGTCGCCCTCGTCATCCTCGTCGTCCTCTTCCGAGTAGTCGTCGTCGCCCTCGGCCGCGTAGTTCTTGCCACGTCCCTGCCACGGTGGCCTGGCGCCACGCATGTTGTTGTGGTCGCGTTCGTGCTTTTTGTCGAACTGCATGCCGAGAGCTTGCTGGATGGCCTGGTACCCATACTTGTTCTGCACAGAGGCCAGCACCTGCGAGCGCTCGTGGTCGTCGAGGCCTGCATTCTCGAGTAGAAACCATGCTCGGAGCGGCTCAGGAAATATCGGCTTCTTCTCGTCGAAATCTTTGTCGATGGCCTTGATCGCCTTCTGCATCCTGTCCTCTTCGACCTCGAACTGCGTGAGATAGTCCCTCATGCTCGTCCGGTTCCTCCGGTATGTCTCTTTCATGAAAGTCCTCATATACTTGCCAGCGTCCTCGACCTCCAAGATGCCGCTCTTCTCCCGAAGATACTGGATCAACTGGCTCACTCCTTTCGGCAACTTGGTCGTCGCGTCTTCCTCTAGGTCGTCCAGGCTGTCCAGCTTGTCGTACTTCTGTACTCCCTGCCAAGCGCGTCCCTGGAGCTTCGCCATCAATCTGGGCCCGCAGAGGCCCTTCTCGTCCTTCTTGGTCCCGCGCACGTACAGCTTCACTCGCATCACGTAGGAGTCGAAACTGGCAACATCTCCGTCCCAAGAAGGTACGGTCTCGTGCTTCTCAGCTTCGGTCGTCATGACGAGCCGGTCCGTGGAGCCAGACCGGCTCCGCTACCAACTAAATCGTCGGCACTGGCGTCAGCCTGCTGTCGATCTTCTCGTAAATGATTATCTTGATAATCTTTTCCTCCACAGCTCGCGCCAGCGACACAACAATCTATCAGATATCTCGATAGCCCCTGGTGGGCTGATACAGTCACTCACTTGGTGAGTGGGTGGCCGGTCGGCCGTGCCCGGTAGCCTTACCGGGACTCAAGGGCGCCCTCGGACCGAAACAGCAGCAGTAGCGGTCGCTCGGTCTCGGGGCGTCTCGGATCGGAAGGCCAACTGCACAGTACAAAACACACCCTGGCCCCCCCCCCCTTCCTAACTCCTCCCCCCCCCTTCTCGGAAAACCGGGAGGGGTCACTGCATTTAAGAACCCCCCCTCCCAGTCCCCCCCACCGCCCTCAACAGTCCCCACCACCAACGTCCCCACCTGTGTCTCGCTGCCCCCACTGTTCCCACCACCGTCCCCACTATCCCCACCAGTGCCCCCACCACCGTCGCACTGTCCCCACTGTCCCCACCACGGTCCCACTCTCCGCACTGCCCCCGCTGTCCCCGCCACTGTCCCCACTGTCCCCACCACTATCCCACTGTACCCACTATCCCCACCGCTGTCCCACTGAGATGTCCCACTGTTCCCACTACTGTCCCACCGTCCCCACTGTCCCCACCACTCTCCCCACTGTACCAATGTTCCATTGTCCCACAACCGTCCTCATCACTGCCCTCACCACTGTCCCCACCACCACCGTCCCCACCACTGTCCCAATGTCCCCACCACTATCCCAACGTCCCCTCACCACTGACCTCACCACCACCGTCCCCACCACTGTCCCACTCCCCACTGCCCCCACCACTGTCCCAGTCCCCACTGTTCCCACCACTGTCCCCATTTTCCCCACCAGTGCCCCTACCACTCTCGCACTGCCCCCACTGTCTCCACCACTCTCCCCACCACGATCCCACTCTCCCCAGTGTCCCAGCTGTCCCCACCACTGTCCCACTGTCTCCACTGTCCCCACCACTGTGCCAATGTTCCCACTGTCCCCACCGCTGTCCCACTGCGCTGTGTCCCCACCATTGTCTCACTGTCCCCACTGTCGACACCACTCTCCCCACTGTACCACTGTACCACCATCGTCCTCACCACTGCCATCACCAGTGTCCCCACCACCACCATTTCCACCACTGTCCCACTGCTGTCCCCACCACCACCGTCCCCACCACTGTCCCACTGTCCCCACTGCCCCCGCCACTATCACAGTCCCCACTGCTCCCACCACAGTCCCCACTGTCTCCACCAGTGCCCCCACCACTGTCGCATGTCCCCACCGTTCCCACCACTGTCCCCACCACGGTCCCACTTCGCACTGTCCCCACTCCCCACCACCATCCCCACCACCGTCCCAACCACTGTCCCCATCCAGAGTGGGAGAGCAAGGGGAATCGTTGAGGCGAGGAGGGAAGGGGGAGGTGGGTTCGAACCGGTAGTGACCCCCCCCCAGTTTTCCAGGGGGGGTCGAACAGGTGGTGACCCCCCCCCTTCTTCATGATGGACCGGGGGGAAGAGGGGGGGCCCAGTGACCCCCCGCCCAGTTTTCGAGAGGAGGGGGGGGGAAACCCAAGTGCACACAAACACGCTGGTTTTCTGCCAGCAACGGTAGAACACGCTTGCATATATATATATATATATATATATACATACATACATACATACATACATACATACATACATACATACATACATACATACATACATACATACATACATACACACATATCTACCTACCTATCTACCTACCTACCTACCTACCTACCTACCTACATACATACATACATACATACATACATACATACATACATACATACATACATAGACACACATACGTAGAACCCCGCAATTGCGGATAAGAATGAGGGGGCGGGCGCGGGCGACGCGGGCGTCGAGCCCACCAACGCGCTCGGCCCATCAGAGAGTCATGGCGTGGAGAGCAGGAAGCGGCGCGAGATCAAGGCAACGATCGGGAACAATGGAGGCGGCAGCGGAAGAAACAGCTCCAGCACGAAAGAAAGAAGCACGTGGAGGCCTGATGAAAAGTGCTGGCAGCAAGCCTGGCTCAGGAGAGGGTGCTACTCACGAGGAAACCTTGCTACTGCAGAAGATGTCGCTCAACAACGCCCAAATGCTACGACTGGTATCAGGCAGCCTTTGGGACTTCTTCCTGGCAGAGGGCGACAACAAACCAGTGGAGGCCGCGGCAGAAGGTGGGATCAACTACGCCGAGGAGGTCAAGTCCAAGGGCAGCAAGGAGATGGGGTCACCACACCTCCACACGGGGGCAGAGTTCTTCCTGGAACTAGCCAAGAGCGATCAGATCAGCGGCGAGACGAAGGACATACTCACACAGTTTGCGGAGCTGATCGAGGTGATGAACAGGGAAGAGTTCGCGGACAGTCTATCATACTTTCGAGTGAAGAAAGCATACACGGAGCCAGGACACACGCAGAAATGGAAGATCCACATCATGTTCAATCCTCTGAGCCCATCGCCATGGACACATAAGCTGAAGGGCGAGGCGAACGCGCTCAGAGTCGGCAACGAGAAGGCGGAGATCGAGTTCGGCACATTCGGAGTGCAGGACCTTCGGCAGGCCACATGTCGAGCTCTCAAGGTGCTGCAGGCCCAGCAGATCTTCGGAGCGCCGCCGCCTTCAGCGCTCGAGAGACAGCTCCAGGCTGCGCTCAGAGCGCGCCAGCAGCAGGCGCAGTAGATATCGAGGGACTACGAGCCATGGCACAGAGGGGCAGCAAGAGGGCCCAGGCACTGCTTTCACAACTGAGTCGCCAACAGTGAGCAGTGCAAGGGCCCCAGAATGCGCATTCAGAGCGTGCAGGTGTTTTTATTATGTTTTCCGTCATGTTGCTGATATTATGAATATTGTTCGTGTCCGAGGCCCCAGGAGGCAAGCGGACGCATCACTCGAGTGACAGAGAAGAGGCAGCAGGATCCTGTCTCAGGCCGTTGCCAGAGCCCGAGCACTACCTGCCCGTGCCTTAGAGCGTCACCATTGGGAGGGGGACGGAGTGGGGGAGCGGGGGGGGATGGAGGAGTCTTCACAGCTGCACACACAGTAGACGGGTCTCGCTAGTCAAAGACTGGCACAAGTTTGACCCGTGTTCCCGAGTCGGAGGGGATGGGCCTGAAGGTCATAAACCTCCGCCGCTACGTTCCATGTTTGTGATTTGGAGGGGCTCGGCATCGAGCAGCAGCGGGCCCAAACGGGCCTAACAAGGCCAGGGGTCCCGTAGGCTGACCCCCTGTAATGCCGATAACGCCGCCAGCAGCTACCGAGCTCGCACACATGCGAGACACATCCCAGCAAAGTAGCAGTGGACTCACCAGTTGCCAAGGCTTCCGACTCCGACTCCGACTCCTGCTCCTCCTCCTCCTCCTCCTCCTCCTCCTCCTCCTCCTCCTCCTCCTCCTCCTCCTCCTCCTCCTCCTCTCCTCTCCTCCCCTCCCCTCCTGACTCCCTCTCCTCCTCCTCCCCTCTCCCTCCTTCCTCCTCCTCCTCCTCCCTCTCTCCTCCTCGTGGTCCTTCCGCCCTCCTCCTCTCCCTCCCTTTCCTCCTCCTCCTCCTCCTCCTCCTCCTTCCTCCTCCTCTTCCTCCTCCTCTCCCTCCTCCTCCTCCTCCTCCTCCTGCATACTGTGTGGTAGGGTTCGTGGACGCCGCCCTCAGGGTTCGTGGTAGAGGGTCCTTGAGCGCCCCGAGGCCCCTTAATTGTGGGCGCCTTGAGGCAGCTTCCCCTGAACCCAGACTTTGGGCACGGATGCCGAATTGCAGCAGGCAGCTGGATTGTCAATGAACGTGTTCAGACACAGCCCCGCCGCAGGCGCTGATGTGCTGTTGTAGAGTCAACGTGGGCCGGATCGGGGGAATGGCACGAGGGCGCTTTCCCAAACCAATGCGAGCAAACCCGCCGCAGGCGCCGATCTGCGTGCTCTGACAAGTTCAGCGCAGGGAGAATCGCTGGTGGGCCACCCGGAAGGAATACAAAAAACAGCCCGCCGCAAGCGCCGATTTTTTTTTGCTTTTTCAGTGGACGTTGTTTGGGTCGCGGGTGGGACGCGGGCTCTCCACCTCCACCTGGAAGGAATTCACAAACAGCCCGCCGCAAGCGCCGAAAATTGTGATTTGTACACGGAACGCGGATTGGGCGGGTCGCAGGTTATCCACCTGAAACAAGTTCAAGAAGCCCGCCGCAGGCGCTGATAATCGCGGGGTGGGTCGCGGGTGGGTCGCGTGTGGGTCGCGATGGGTCGCGGGTGGGTCGCGGGTGGGTCGCGGGTGGGTCGCGGGTGGGTCGCGGGTGAGTCGCCGATGCAAAAGAAACCCGCCGCAGGCGCCGAAGTTTTGGCTTGCTCAGTGAACGTAGCTTGGGTCGCGGGTGGGTCGCGGGCTCTCCACCTCCACCTGGAAGGAATTCAAAAACAGCCCGCCGCAGACCAGAAATTCTATTTGTACACTGAACGCGGTTTGGGTCGCGGGTGGGTCGCAGGTTCTCCCCCTGGAACGAATCCAAAAGAAACCCGCCGCAGGCGCCGAAAATTTTGGGTGGGTCGCGGGGTGGGTCGCGGGTGGGTCGCCGGAGGGTCGCGGTGGGTCGCGGGTGGGTCGCGGGTGGGTCGCGGGTGGGTCGCGGGGTGTCGTGGGGTGGGTCGCAGGTGGGTCGCGGGTGGGTCGCCAGTGGGTCGCTGGGGGAGTCTCGGGGTGGGTCGCGGGTGGGTCGCGGGGTGGGTCGCGGGTGGGTCGCGGGTGGGTCGCGGGGTGGGTCGCGGGTGGGTCGCGGAGTGGGTCGCGAGTGGGTCGCGGGTGGGTCGCGGGGTGGGTCGCGGGAGGGTCGAGGGGCGGGTCGCGGGTGGGACGACGACAACAACAAACAACAAACAACAAACAACAAACAACAAACAACAACAAGAATCCGCTTCGCGAAACTCCACTTCAGCCACGCTCCCAGAGACAGTGGATGACCGTTCGGTTCAGCCCCCTCACTCTGATACATATATATATATATGTATGCATACAAACGCATGCATCACTACGTACATGTACGTATGTCCATACATTCATATGCATGCACATCGATGCACCCACACACACACATGTACATACACGGTGTATATATACACACCTACACACGTGTCAGTATGGTCGCCCCCATACACACACCCAAACACACCAAAAAACCCAGCACCCCCAACCAGCCTTCTCCCACAATGTGTATCATGATCCTGGTCTTCTCGTCGTTCAATCCTCTTCTCTCCTTATCCTCGTGGTCTCCTTCTCCTCGTCATCTCTTCTCTTCTTTCCTCGTCCAATCCTCTTCTGATGTTCTACGCTCTGTTCTCTGTCGACTTCCCCATGATATGCCTTATCATGCTCTTCTCGTTACGGGGGTCGCAAAACCTCTGAAATATCATGTGTTCCTGGTGCCCCGAACAGGCAACATGTAAATACCAGCTTTTCCTGTTTGTCCAGCTTCTTCTGACGACTACGGGCGAAGAGGGGGGAGCGTGGCCATAGGCTACAAAAAAACTGGAGAAGCCGGACGAGCTTGAATTTCACAGGTTTCGCAGCCATCCAGACCTGGAAAACCAGGAAAAGCCTGCACTGACGATGTTTCGCAGCCATCGCCGCCAGGAAAGATGTAAAATGCAAGCTGTTTTTGTTCCCCCACCTTTTCCTGACGATGACGGCCGAAGAGGGGAGCAGCGTGGCCATTGGCTGCAAAAACCTGAGAAGCAGGAAAAGCTTGTGTTTCACACATGTTTCTCAGCCATCGCGACATAGGAAAGCGGGGAAAAAACGAATTTCACAAGTTTCTCGAGGTGGAAAGGGAAGGCCTGGGGAGGGCCCCGGAGAGGGAGGAGACAGGAGGACAGGGAAGGAGGGAGGAGGAACGAGGAGGGAGGAGGTTGAGGGGGGGAGGGGAAGTCTTCCTCTCCATCCTCTTCCTCCTCCCCGCCCGCGGTGCCAGCGCGACGCGCCAGAGAGCGCTCCTCCCAGTGTTCGCCTCCGAAGTTCGCCGCGCCGCCGAGCGTCTCGAGGAGCGCCACGCAGTTGCTTGCGAAGAGCTCGCTGGCCTCCCCCTCCCCATGCTCCTCCCCCATCTGCCTCTTCCGTCTCCTCTTCCTCGTCCTCCTCCTCCTCCTCCTCATCCTCCTGCTCCTCCCCCTCATCCTCCCTCATACCTCCCCATCTCCTCTCCTCCTCCCCCCTCCCTGGACCCCCTCCCTATCGGCATCCCTCTCATCTCCTCCCCCCTCCCCCACCCCTAGAACGCCACGACCGGCCCTGCGCTCCCACAGGCAGAAACCGCCTCTGGTTGCATAAAGACGGAGCTCTGCCCGCAAGGGATCAGCGGGCGGGGCCTGATATCCCTGCCGCTGCAGGAAACACAGTGGAATCTTGCCGCCTCCTCACCTCCCCTTCCCCCTCCCCCTCCCGCCATCCCTCTCAGCATCACCTCCCTCTACCCCCCCTTCCTTTCCTCTCCTCTCCTCACCTTTCATCGTCTTCCCTCCAGGCTCGACTCTTCCCTGCATCTCCCTCCTCCCTCTCCCGTGCATCCCTATCCCCCATCTCGTAGTCCTCCTCCTCCATCTCCTCCTCCTCCTTCTCCTCCTCCTCCTCCTCCTCCTCCTTCTCCTCACCATCGGCATCATCCTCGCCAGCAGCAATATGATCAGTATCATCATCATGTTCATCATCATCATCATCATCATCATCATCATCATCATCATCAGCAGCAGCAGCAGCAGCATCATCATCAGCAGCAGCATCATCATCAGCATCAGCAGCAGCATCAGCATCAGCATCAGCATCACCATCATCATCGTCGTCATCGCCAGCCTCATCATCAGCAGCAGTAGCATAATCATGAGCAGCAGCATCATCATCATCATCATCATCATCATCATCAGCATCATCATAATCATCATCATCATCATCATCATCATCATCATCATCATCATCATCATCATCATCATCATCATCGCCATCAGCATCATCATCAGCAGCAGCATCAACCTCATCATCATCAGAAGCAGCATCAGCAACAGCATCAGGATCCGCATCAACATCAGTATCAGCATCACCAACAACAACGACAACAACATCGTCAGCATCAGCATCAGCATCATCATCAGCATCTGCATCAGCAACATCGTCGTCAACAGCTTCGGCATCAGCATCATCATCATCATCAGCAGCATCATCAGCAGCAGCATCATCAGTATCATCATCAGTAGCAGCAGCATCACCATCAGCAGCACCATCAACAGCAGCATCCTCGTCGTGTTCCTCCTCAGCCTCCTCCGTCGTCTCCTCCCACCTCCCCATCCCCCTCCTCGTCCGCATCGCCCACAGCGTCTACATCATCAGCATCAGTAGCATCATCCACATCATCCTCGTCATGCTCAGCAGAATCAGCATTATCCTCATCATCATCATCATCATCATCATCAGCATATTCATCCTCAGCAGCATCAGCATGATCATCATAAACATCATGAGCATCATCATCATCATCATCATCATCATCATCATCACCATCAGCACCATCAGCATCATCATCCGCATCAACATCAGCAGCAGCATCAGCATCACTACCATCATCATCAGCATCAGCATCAGCATCAGCATCAGTACCACCATAATCAGCATCAGCATCACCACCATGATTATTCACCTCGTCATCGTTCTCAGCATCGGAATCCGCATTGTCAACATCACCACCACCACCATCAACATCATCATCACCACTAATTACAACCACCACCACCACCATCATCATCAGCATCATCATCATAACCAGCATCATCATCATCATCGTCATCATCAGTATCATCATCATCATCAGCATCATCATCATCATCATCATCATCATCATCACCGTCAGCAGCAGCAGCATCGTCATAATCATATGCATAACCATAAACATGATCATGAAAAGCATCCTCATCCTCAGTATCGTCCTCATCAGCAACAATCATATCAACACCAATAAAATAATCATCATCCTCGCCATCGTCCTCATCCTCATCATCACCTCCCCTCTGCTCCTCCAGAAGCTTCCACTCGAATCCGGAAGCATCCGAAAACCAATCGGCAATCTCCGGGAAACAATTGACAAATTTCGAAAACTGCCGAGTGCTTCCGATAATCCCCAAAAGGTCGCAGAAAGAACTCCGCCCCCGTCCCTTCCTTCCCCGCGTTGACGCGCGCGTCGCTCTGCTCGGGACTTCGCTTCGCTCGTGCAGCGGGCCACCACCATGACCACCACCGCACCCCTGTCCTCCCCGTCCCGCTGTCCTCTCTCTCTCCGTTCATTCCCCCATCCATTTCCTCCCCACCGCCCCATCACCATCTCCTCTCCTCTCCTCTCCTATCTCTCCCCCGCCTTCCTCTCTCTCTCTCTCTCTCTACCCCTCCTCCCGCTGCAATCCCCCCTCGCCACCCCTCGCGCTCCTCTTCACCCCTCCCCTCGGAGAGGGGGGGGTGAGGGGGGAGGCGGACAGGAGGGAATGGACGAAGATGCATCGCCTGTGACGCCATCTTGGACGGGTAATTGGTCTCGCCAATGATGGTCACGCCGCCTGAGGTGGTCACCGTCTCGTCCTCCAGCGGCGCAGAGGGGAGACTCGCGGCGAACCCAAGAGGCTGCAAATCTGGGGACCGTCACGGAGATTTGTTTTGGCAATGTGGGTGTGGCTTTCTGTCAGGCGGGGGCTCAGCAGCTCCTAGACCGTCTGAAGCGTCCTGGCGGCCGTATTGAAGGCAGTCTGGGGCACGTCTTGGGCCCTCGTGGAACCATCTTGAACTGAAAAGTTGCGAGTGCCAACAACTTGCGGAAACCCTGCCATACGCAGACCCATCTGAGAGCCTATTTTGTGGCCAACTTGAAGCCATCTTTGGCCGACTTGGGCCGTCTGTGAATATAGGAGGCATGTTTGGCAACCTTGGGCGCCTCCTGGAGCCCTCTGAGGCAGTCTTGGTGGCTCCTCCTCCTCCTTCTCCTCCTCCTCCTCCTCCTTCTCATCCTCCTCCTCCTCGTCATTCTCCTCCCGCTCATCTTCCTCCCTCATTGTCCCTCCTTCCAACCAGCTTCCCCCCCACTCTGGTAGCAGAAACCGAATCGCGAAAACACCCTGGCACGTGAGAACTCGGCAAAGGGACGCCACATCACCGCTGGTACGGAATCGACGGGGCTCCAGATCGGGCGAACTCGAGATCGGACACGAACATTGAAATGCTCGCCTCGCGTCGGCTCGAGCTGGCGGTCACGAAAAAGTCGATCCGAAACGATCCGATGGAGCCAGAGAGCGCCCTGCGCTGCACCGGTGCCGCCAGCAAGGGCGGACCCCTCGCCGCACGGGGGCGGCGCCGCAGAGGGGCAGGGGGCCAGTCCGGGCGACACAGCTCGCAGTTGCCGCCGGCGGACGCGGCGAGGTCGACGATCACGGAGCCGCGCTTCATGCTGTTCACCACCTCGGGGAGAAGCCAGGCGCGCCGTCGTCGTCGTCGTCGTCGTCGTCGTCGTCGTCGTCGTCGTCGTCGTCGTCGTCGTCGTCGTCGTCGTCGTCGTCGTAGACATCGTCGTCGCCGTCGTCGCTGTCGATGTCGCTGTCACCGTCGATGCTGTCGACGTCGTCGTCGCCGTCGCCGTCGTCCACGCTGTCGTCGATGTCGGTGCCGTCGTCGTTGTCCCCACAAGCTGGAGAACGCCCACAAGATCGCCAACGGCCGATCCTGGCAAGCCCTTCCAGGGTCCGGGATCGGCGCATGCCCCCCCACTGGCCCGGAGAAGAGGGCGCTTACACCTATGCTGACTCCACGACCGCCGTGCGCGAACAACACATCCGTACCCGCGGCCACGCGGGCCGGGCCCCTGGGCTGGGCCCCTGGGCCTCTACCCCACGGACACGGGGCGCTTTTTCGCGGATACTTCGCGAGGAACGTATCCATGCGACCGCGCATCCGCGGGATCGCGCCCTGGAATCCGATCCGCGAGGGAGCGGATACGGATATGTTATGTTCGCCGCTCGTCAGATTGGCCAGGTCAGGATCGGCGCCAGTGCACGGGGGGCGCAGGGGTGACCCCGGAGGCGGGGCCAAAGGCAGGAGGGGCACGACGTTCAAGCGGATGCTGACAGAAGACGGTCGATGCACGTGTGGCCCTGAAAGTGGATTCGAGCTGCCTCTGGCGTCGCCCGCGCACCGCTCCTGGTTGCCCTGGGCGGCCTCTCCGACAAATCCTCATTTGGCCGTCGCTCTGAGGGTCCTCCGCGTCCTTCCCCGCGATAGTCATGGGATCTCTTGGACTGGGGGGCTCTCTGCGACGGTGGTAGGTCAGCCCATACTTCCAAGTAGGCGAGGTCTGGGTGCTGAAGGACCACCGCCGCAGCGGCTCGCAGAGCCGGCGCCTCATCCTCCATGACGAGGGTGCCAGGCGCGATTCCAGAGCTCCTGGAAGTCGCGAGCGCCGTCGTCCTCCATCGGCGAGTTCAACTGTTCTCCTTCGGCATCCCTGGCGGCGTCCTCCCTCGGAGCCGTGCCAAACTGCTTCGGAACCCACAGCGCCATCAGCATCATGTACTTCAAGAGAGAGGTCTCTGCGCAACACCGCGCCACAGCTTCGCGGGGCTGGAGGAGCAAACCTCGGGTGGGCCTGCGCCGCCTCTGCGGCTCTACGGCTCTGTGGCAGCCTGCGGGACCCGCTTTACGATGTGGGCCACCTTGTCGCGTGTTCGTCCGTGGCCTCACGCCATGGGCCTACGCACAGCAACACCCGCACGTCAACTCAGCGTTGCTGACTAGTCCTCGCTCCTCCTCCTCCTCCACCTTCTCCTCCTCTTCCTCCTCCTCCTCGCAGCTCGATCATCCTCATCCTCGCTCCTCCTCCTCTCTCCTCGCTCCTGGCGCCTCGCTCCTCGCTCCTCGCTCCTCGCGCCTCGCTCCTCGCTCCTCGCTCCTCTTCCTCCTCCTCCTCCATCTCCTCCTCCTCCTCCTCATCCTTTTCCTCCTCGCTCCTCGCTCCTCCTCTTCCTCTTCCTCCTCCTCCTTCTCCTCCTCCTCCTCTCGTCCTCGCTCCTCCTCAACACTGCCTCCGCGGGGATGAGCATCGGCGAGGCCCTGTTCGGGATCATGGCGGTGGTGATAACGATGTCCTCAGAGCGGATGGCGGGGGCTCACCCTGCTCAATACCGAGGCACCCTGCTCTTCCACCAGTCGGAAGGGACAGGAGGGGAGAAGGGCAAGGAAGGGGGAGGAGAGGAGAGGGCACGGAGGAGAGAGCAGGGAGGGGGTGGGGGGGGCGGAGACAGAGAAATAGGGCCCCCCTCTCTCCCTCCCCGACCTCCTCCTCCCTCTCGCCTACTCACTGGATGTCAGTCTGCCCAGGATGACACGTGCCACTGCGATGTCGTGGGCACCAGCGACGAGGTGAGTCGCCCCCACGCCCATACCTGAGTGGGACGTGGCGCTAAGGCGGCTGTGCCCATGGTCCCGACCAATGCCTACCTAGGCTACATCTCACTCTTCGCATAATATTACTGTTTGAACCCAGGTGTGGCGTCATCCGCCCGCCGACTACGCGATTCTGCCCTGCCCTTCCCGCCACCACTCACCAGCGCAAGCCGCTTCGTCCAGGCTCGTCCCCACCCCTTCCGCCTCGTTTTCCTCCCACGGAACGCATGCGAAGAGACACACGCCCTGGACCGCTCGTGTCGCCCCCCCCCCTCTCTCGCCCTGAGGCACCACGCGCGCGGGGGTTGGGGGGGGAGGGATGAAGAGGACGAAAAGGGGAACTTGGAGGTGAAGGAGGGGGAGGAGGAGGAAAAGGATGAGGAGCAGCAACAGCAGCAGGACCTGCCCGGCCCCGTGTCCGTTGCACCGCCGCCGCGCACCCGCCCGGCTCCCCCGGCCCCCGCCCGCTCCATGTCGGGGATGATGCGGGCGTAGGTGGCCAGCTGGGCCTGGAGGTGGGGGAGCAGGCGTTCGGACGACAACGACGACGACGACGACAACGACGACGACGACGACGACGGCGACAACGGCGCCACGGATGCCGACGGGGACGAGGACACGATGACGAGGAGGACGAAATGGATGAAGGGGAGGACCGGATGTCTTTAAGTCCTGAGTTGCAACCATGTGATTGTTCGGGCGATTATGCTGTCAACTCTGCAATGGTACCCCGTGAACGCAAATGCCGCGTTTGATTGATTGTCTGCTCGTCGACCACTAACTCGAACCTAATCACCTTGCCCCCGCCACCCATTATCGTCCTCCTGCTGCAGGCTCTCCTCGTGGTGATGCTGCAGACGCCGCTGCTCCTGAGACGGCTGCTCCTCAGGGAACAAAAAGAGCCGGTGAGCTCGGGGGTGGTAACCATCCGAAGCTATTGGCCCCATCCCACGATCCTCCTCCTCCTCGGGAGTGAGGAGAGAGGTGAAACGATTTGTCGTTATACGCCATCGCATCGCGCCCCTCCTGCGAGCATTTCGAAAAGTTCATCAAGCTGGAAAGTGGGGCTTGGCAAAGGTTTGGGTCGTCCCTGTGCAAATGATGTCGGCAGTGCCATCTTCAGGCGCAGATTAAGCAACGGCAGAATTTTGTATTTAGGGTTCCGGAGCGGGTAACTGGTTCAAATTCAGAAAGTTCTTAGCCGTGTAGCGCACGGTGGGACGCCAAGCTTACAAAGAGCAAGTCTGGTTCTGGTGTGGTTGGTCTGGCTAGTCTGGTTTGAGCATTGTCTTGCAGCCTTAGCTTAGGATCCGAGCGAGAATGGTTTAGGAGAGGTCCAGCGAGGCAGCGCCAACCACCACGACGACCGAAGTGCAATTGTTGTGCATTTCAATTATTCGTGCTTTGCATATTTTTGCAAGGCAATTTTTCTGCATCTGGTCTGGCTGGTCTCGTTGGTCTGGTTTGAGCTTCGTCTTGCAGCCTTAGCTTAGGATCCGGGCGAGAGTGGTTTAGAGGAGGTCCAAGTCTGGCTCTGGTCTGGTTGGTCTGGTTGGTCTGGTTGGTCTGGTTTGAACTTCTTGCAGCCTTAGCTTATGATCCGGGCGAGAGTGGTTTAGGGGAGGTCGGGCGAGGCAGGGCCAACTACCACGACGACCGAAATACAGCTTTTGTTTGTATTGCAATTCCTGCTGTTTTGCATGTTGTTTTGCATGGCAATGTGTGCTTGCATCTGGTCTGGCTGGTCTGGTTGGTCGGGTCTGAGTTTCGTCTTGCAGCCTTAGCTTAGGATCCAAGCGAGAGAGGTTAAGGGGAGGTCTGGCGAGGCAGCGCCAACCACCACGACGATCGAACACACATGTCTTTGCGTTGCATGTTTCTTTGCTTTGCAGTTTTTCCCAGCCATCCTGTGGTGTTGGGTCCTCGTTTTGAACAGACGGCCCCGCGTTCCTCCTTCCTCCCTTCTCACCCTCCTCCTTCCTCCCTGCGGTTCGCCCACCGAGTACAGCGTTTCGGTGGCCCCACAGGGAGCTCCACCGAAGGCCCCAGTGGCACCGCCCGCATGCGTCAGCCACCACCCTGTACAGCGCTTCGAGGCCCCATAGAGAACTCCACCAACGCCCCCAATGACACCGCCCGCATGCGTCAGCCACCACCCAGTACAGCGCTTCGTGGCCCCATACAGAACTCCACCAACGCCCCCAATGACACCGCCCACATGCGTCAGCCACCACCCAGTACAGCGTTGCGTGGCCCCATAGGGAGCTCCTCCGAAGGCCCCAGTGGCACCGCCCGCATACGTCAACCACCACCCAGTACAGCGCTTCGTGGCCCCAAAGAGAACTCCACCGAAGGACCCAATGTGACGCCCGCATGCGTCAGCCACCATCCAGCACAGCGGTTCGTGGCCCCATGGGGGGCTCCACCGAAGATCCCAGTGGGACCGCCAGCATGCGTCAGCCACCACCCAGTACAGCGCTTCGTGGCCCCATAGGAAGCTATACCGAAGGTCCCACTGCGACGGCCCGCGTGCGTCAGCCACCACCCAGTACAGCATTTCGTGGCCAGAAGAGAGCCCCACCGAAGGTCCCAGTGGGACCGCCCGCATGCGTCAGCCACCACCCAGTACAGCGCTTCGTGGCCCCGTAGGGAGCTCCTCAGAAAGACCCCGATGGCACCGCCCGCATGCGTCGTCCACCACCCAATACTGCATTTCGCGGCCTCATTGATCGGGGGCTCCACCGAAGGCCTCAGTGGCACCGCCCGCATGCGTCCCCACCACCGGTACAGCTTTTCGTGGCCCCGGAGGGAGCTCCACAGAAAGACCCTAGTGGCACCGCCCGCAAGCGTCTCCCTCAACTAGTATATATAGCGCTTCGTGGCCTCATCGGGAACTCCAACGAGGGGCACCGCCCGAATGCGTCGTCCACCACCCAGTACAGCGTTTCGTGGCCCATAGGGAGCCCTACCGAAGGCCCCAGTGGCACCGCCCGCATGCATCTCCCCCACCCCCACCCATTACGGCACGTCCCTCACGCGCTCCGTGGCCCCATAGGTAGCTCCACCGAAAGCGGCACCCACAACGCGTTACTCACAACTGCATATGCTTGGATCCTTTGCCAGTATAGTCCCCCACATCCAAGATGTTTGTTTGTATTCTTTGGACACCCCGCGCAGGAAACCAGGAACAGGAACACCCCCCCTTCTCACTCACTCACTCACCACATACACACTCACTCACGCACGCACACACTCACACCATCATCATCATCATCATCATCATCATCATCATCATCATCATCATCATCATCATCATCATCATCATCATCATCATCATCATCATCATCATCATCATCATCATCATCATTATCATCATCATCATCATCATCATCATCATCATCATCATCATCATCATCATCACAACCACATCATCAGCACTTACACACTCACTCACTCGCTCACACATTCACATGTATTCAGCATCATCACCTGTTTACTCACACACTGATTCACCACCTACCACCCACTCATTCACACACATCATCGTGGGCACCATCATCATCATCGTCTTCACACTCACCAAATGAGTCTATACACACCTCATAAGCGAATCCCTCTTCGCACACTCAGTCACTCAATGAACCACACACACGATCACCATCATAACACCATGAAGCGCTGCATCATCATGCAGTACATTATTATCACCAGCATGCACTCAATCACTCACACCATCAGGAAACCAACAACCCTCAGCATCATCATCATCATCATCATCATCATCATCATCATCATCATCATCATCATCATCATCATCATCACTCGCGTCGTCATCATCACCATCAGCTCCACTCACATCACAAGCGGCATCATCACCATCATCACTCACATCGTCAGCATCACACCACAATCATCACTCAAACGCGCACGCATTCATGTTGAGGACAAATCAGGCGGGAGCCTCGTCTGTGAATGGATTGCGAGGGCGTCTCAGGCGGGAGCTCCTTTTTCCCAACCCCCAACCCTCCTGCGTTGGGTTCTCGTTTTGAATAGAGCACTGCTCGCGCGAACCTTCCCACCACCCCCCCGTCCCTCTCTTCCCCCCTGCCTTCGCTCGTCGCTGCGTGCCAGCTGGGGGGCTGCGATCTGTGAAACTGTCGCCACTTTCGAGGCCTGCTGGGGGGCCCAGCACAGTGGGTACCCACGGCGGACTCAAATTTGACCTCGCCATCCCTGGGGGGCTGCGATCTGTGAAACTGTCGCCACTTTCGACGCCTGCCGGGGGGCCCAGCACAGTGGGTACCCACGGCGGGCTCAAATTTGACCTCGCCATCCCTGGGGGGCTGCGATCTGCGAAACGGTCGCCACTTTCGAGGCTTGCTGGGGGGCCCAGCACAGTGGGTACCCACGGCGGACTCAAATTTGACCTCGCCATCCCTGGGGAGCCGCGATCTGTGAAATTGCAGCCACTTTCGAGGCCTGCTGGGGGGGCCCAGCACAGTGGGTACCCACGGCGGGCTCAAATTAGACCTCGCCATCCCTGGGGGGCTGCGATCTGCGAAACTGTCGCCATTGTCGAGGCCTGCTGGGGGGCCCAGCACAGTGGGTACACACCGCGGATTCAAATTTGACCTCGCCATCCCTGGGGGGCTGCGATCTGTGAAACTGTCGCAACTTTCGAAGCCTGCTGGGGGGCCCAGCACAGTGGGTACCCACGGCGGACTCAAACATGACCTCGCCATCCCTGGGGGGCTGCGATCTGTGAAACGGTCGCCAGTTTCGACGCCTGCTGGGTACCCACGGCGGGCTCAAATTTGACCTCGCCATCCCTGGGGGGCTGCGATATGTGAAACTGTCGCAACTTTCGAAGCCTGCTGGGGGGCCCAGCACAGTGGGTACCCACGGCGGACTCAAATTAGACCTCGCCATCCCTTGGGGGCTGCGATCTGTGAAACTGTCGCCACTTTCGAAGCAGGCTGGCGGGCCCAGCACAGTGGGTACCCACCGCGGACTCAAATTTGACCTCGCCATCCCTGGGGAGCCGCGATCTGTGAAATTGCAGCCACTTTCGAGGCCTGCTGGGGGGCCCAGCGCAGTGGGTACCCACGGCGGACTCAAATTTGACCTCGCCATCCCTGGGGGGCTGCGATCTGCGAAACCGTCGCCACGTTCGAAGCCAGCTGGGGGGGGCAGCACAGTGGGTACCCACCGCGGACTGAAATTAGACCTCGCCATCCCTGGGGGGGCTGCGATCTGCGAAACTGTCGCCACTTTCGAGGCCTGCTGGGGGGTGCCCAGCACAGTGGGCACACACCGCGGACTGAAAGTAGACCTCGCCATCCCTGGGGGGCTGCGATCTGCGAAACTGTCGCCACTTTCGAGGCCTTGGGTGGCCCAGCACTGTGGGTACACACGGCGGACTCAAATCTGACCTCGCCATCCCTGGGGGGCTGCGATCTGTGAAACTGTCGCCACTTTCGAGGCCTGCTGGGGGGGCCAACACAACGTG